GTCGAAACCGAACACACTAATCGTCCTTAGAAATGTATCCCTTCATTCATTTCTTGATTCGTCAATATCGCATGCCGTGCCTCTTTCCACTTTACTTGCACTTTCAAAAAGACAGATAAGTATGCAAGAGAGAAATGCATTTTTAACCTTATCTCTACCAGGCCAAGAAGTAACCCAACTTAACAGCCAGAGAAATCCAGTCGTTTAGAAAGTAGACGATTAATAATAACAGAGTTCAGAGCACCCATTCAAATATCGAAAGTTGTAGCTGTCGCAAGCACACACTCCGAGCTGAATTTATTCTAAATCCATATATTATAGCAGACCTTGTAAGTGATCATAGAACGTTTTCCTTTTAAATAAGCCTTTTATGAGACTTTTGAAAAATTAATGAACATCAGATATAAGAACAAAAAGATTAAGAAGTCATATATACGTATGCCCAAAGCCTAATAAAAATACACAACAACACACACAAACATACAAACAAAACAAATAAATAAAAGATCCGCTAAGTTTCCATTGTCGTCTGTCCGCTCTTCGGTACACCAGTATACGTGAGGTTTAAAAACAAATCGCCTCCTCTTAGCGCCTCTCCACCACCCCTCCCCCTCCCCTCTTTTATCCACTACACAAAAAATGTCTTATGGAGTGTCAAACAAAGTATATTTGTTTGTAGTTTTGCTATCTCCTTATGATGTCAATCAAAGTATGGTACGAGACGAAATTTGAATGGCTAAAACCTTACCCTTTTCATTTTTTTTTCTCTGCCGATAATGATATTCAATTTTGTTTTATTATCATTCCATCCCCAATACCTCTCCGATTCCTATACGGATTTGGTATTTAGATATTTCTTGTTACTATTGTAAGATGCACAAAGGAAGTGTGACGATAGCAAACTTTTAAGAAGTACTGTTTTGCGTTGTGAAAATACTGAGTACCTTTTTTTGTTTTACATCTCTTGACTTACATAGATCAGTAATAATAACATGAGAATCATTTAATCTCTTCTCAGCCGCTGCTTATCCAGCAAAAAATTCCAAAGACTTTCAATAATGGACAAAAAGCTTTTCTTTATTCGCACACTGGGCATCCTTTCCCCTAATGCATAGAATTCTATGCAGTCTAAAAACAAGAGAGAGCAAAAATGAAAAAAGGCGGATTACCTGGATAATACTTTTGTAACCGTGTGCATTTAGGGATTACTGTTAGGGGTTAGGGTCGAGATGACAGCAAAGGGATCCCTCATTTTAATTTTTACCCAAACATGAAATTCTAGAGATTGAAACTCCGTTTATGGAAGCCCAGACCTTGAGGCTCCGTATTATCCTCCCGGCCACAGTAAAAACATCCAATGGAGGAATTTTCAATTAATTGTCTTTTTGAGTTATGCTAAGCGCGACAGGGAACAGAGAAGAAGAGAATTGGGGGAGTGGGAAGGATGGAGAAGGAGATGGAAGGCCACTGGGCACAAAGGTGAGAAAGGAAGGCAGAAAGAAAAACGTGAAGAAGAAGGTACAGTAAAACAGAAGAAAGTAATAGAGAAAGCTAGTCAAGAAACAAACTGAGAAAGAATTGGGTAAGAAAAGGAGGAGAAGACAAAGGAAAAGGGGTAGGCTTATGAAGAGAAAAAGGAGGCATAATATGAGAAGAAGAAGAAGAAGAAGAAGAAGAAGAAGAAGAAGAAGAAGAAGAAGAAGAAGAAGAAGAAGAAGAAGAAGAAGAAGAAGAG